CGCAAACACACCCTCCCGCCCATGACATGCGAATCGCAAACCAACCCCAACGTGCATGTGCCACACAGTGTCTCCTTGCCTCGCGCTGCCCATACACATTCTGCCTGCTCAGCGGCCCCTCTGTTCATGCAAGCTTGCTCAAACTGACAAGATGCGCGGGTGCAGGGGTGCAGAGGCTCCGCCCGCCCGCCTGCATCAAGCCATGGGTCCCCTGTCACTGGCCCGGGATGGCACTCCTGTCCATTGCTCCAGGACCTGGGGGGGCCGGGGCACCAGAGGAGTGCTCAGTCGCGCTCGCTGATGGCCACGATGTGCTCCTCCACCTCGGCGTTCGTCAGGACTCTGTGGGGATGGACATACACTGATGTGGGGTGGTACGTCGTGGCAGGCACGCGCCTGAGCGAGGGAGCATCAAACCTCCACGGCACCGAGTCCATGCGGCGTCTGCATGCACAGGCAGCCGGTCCACGGATGATCCTCTCCCATACCGACTGACCTGAACAGGCCGCCGTTGCTGGTCTCGGCGATGCCCACCTCCAGATCCGTGGCCTTCAGGTCCTCGGCCAGCACATTCTGCGGCAAGAAAGGAGGAATGAGATGAGCGTCCGGCCATGGAATCACAGGTGCTGTTCATACCGCGCGTCGCTCTTCGGTGTTTGTTTGGAATGCGGTCGCGGCACAGCCTCCGGCTCTACACTCGGGAGACCTGCTCCTTGTGCAGCGAAAGTCCCTGCACAGGCTGGACCACGCCGAGGAGCTCCAACAACCCTACGCCAACCAGCACCCGTCTCACACGACAGCCACGCACCTGGAGGGCGGAGATGGCCATCTGCACCGTGTCGTCCGCGCTCAGGCTCAAGTCCGGGCGGATCTTCTTCTCCAGGTAGTTGATGGCTTCCTGCTCCTTGGGGCCGGTGGCCGTGGCCCTGTACCCGACAAAGTACCCGGCCGGGTCAACCTTGAACAGCTGCGGCCCGCGTTCCTCGTCGATGCCCACGAGTGTGGAGATGACACCCAGGGGCCGCATGTAGGCGTGCTGCAGTGTGGAGGGTTAATTGCAGGGGGGTCTCTGCACTGACGCAGCTGCGCCAGAGGAGGTGAGAGGAGCCAGGGGCAGCCCCTCCAAGGAACTGCTCTAGGGAGGCGTCAAGATAGCCCCAGGGCAGCTGCAAAGCCCCACACATGCTGCCATGCCCCAAGCCCCTCATTCCAAACCACACCTGGGTGTAGACCTGGGCCTGGTCGGCCAGGACCCTGGCCAGGAAGTCCACGGGCATCTCGTAGCCATACTTGAACCTGAACTCGGCGGCCTCGGATCGCGCCTTCTGCAGGAGCGAACGAGCGTCGCCGGGGACGCCGGTGGTCAGCAAGCCAATGGTCCGCGTCACTTTGTGGATGTTGGTGATGCTGGAGGGATCAATCAGTTTGTCCTGGGGGTGGGGGTGGGGGTGCATGCATGGAAGGTGGGTGAGAGTTGCAAAGGTGTAAGCAAGCGCGACGTGAGATACTCAGACATGGCTCCCCGTTGTGTGTGCAGCGATCCAAACATCTTCCCTCATGCTCCATGAGAGGGGGGCATGAGAGGTTGACACACCCCCATGCCGACACAGCGGCGACGTTGCCCTTCCCGCACCCCCTACCCTCTTCACTCCTCACCGGGACCTTCTTCTGGGTGGCCACCACTGCGCTATCAGCACCTCGGATGGAGATGCTGGTGAGAGCACCAGACTTTGCTGCCTTGAAGGCATACTCTGTTGCAGAGAGGTTGTGTGCGAAGTATGAGCGATGCACTGATAGGGTGTGCTGGGGAAAGGTAGCCAATCACCCTAACTGGACAAGTGACGGCAAGTTCACCCATGAGCTAGGCGCCTTGCACTGCCGCACTGTCACCAGTCCGATCTCTTCCACAACACAGCAACTCACCAACTTGATACAGTCTACCCTCGGGACTGAAGATGGTGATGTGCCGGTCGAAACCTGCCCCACTGCCCCGCGACATGGTTGATCACACCCAGCCCTCGAAGCTCTGTAAGCGGAGCGATACCAGGAAGTATGGAAAGGCGGTCCTCGTGCTCCTGATATTCGCACCCTTATCGGTATGCTGCGCCAAAGATGCGCGATCCCTTGCAGAAAGATACAAGGTGTGATCGACAGCAGCGATAGTGTGCGCTGCGGTCTGGAGGGGTGATGAAAGTGAGAATCACGCCAGGAATAATACTCGAAAGGGTGACGTCGAATAAGATATCCAAGACGACTGTATATCCGCGAGAACCTCGAGTCCCTCAAAGGCTCCCTCGCCCCCACTTGCCACGATGGCAATTATTCACGAGACCTTTGGCCTGCTCCCTCTTCAGCTGTCATATAGCCAGGCGATCGTGCACACGCCTCATCGCCACTGCCTTCGCCTTTCAAATGATCGCAATAAAAACTTAGAGCTGGAATTCGGCCGCGAGCTTTTCCTGTAGAACCTCGGCGAGTACCTTGGCAAGACGCCCGGAGCTCCTCCTGCCCACTTCAGGCTGGTAAGTAGCCCATGTTCCATGTATCCCGGCTGGATCTTATCTCATGTAAGTACGCTGGATTATACTGTGCTGTTGATCTTTCCAGAGCTGCTGGAAGCCTCACAACCTGCTGCATGCCCACTGCTGCTGCCCCGCACAGGAGGTGGACGATGATGCCTTCGATTATGAGGCAGCCAAAGCAGCCGCCCTGGCCCAGCAACCCACCTTTGGGGGCAGCTGGGCGCCCAGCCCAGCCGCCCCTTCAGGAAAGGGTGTAGCGTCATCAAGCCTCAGAGCAGAAGCCGCTCCATTTGCTAGCGTTGGACTGAAGGCTCCTGGGCCGCCGCCACCCCTAAAGGATGCAGCTCGGCTCACAGAGCGCGCCGCCCGTTTTAAGTCGCGACCACCCTCTGCAGCTGCTCAGCATGGACAGCATGGCTTCCACACAGCCATCGCTTCCCATGACCTCGACGGCAAGTTCTCCGTGGCATCGGTTGAGCTCAGCTTTCCTTGGGCCTGTTGGGGAAGAGGACGTGGTAGTAGAACGCTGCACCAGTCCTCAGGCTTCCCAGTGGTGTCTTGTTGTGATCACTCGCTCCAGGCGAGGTTCCACCCGGCATGTGAAGGGAGTCCGTATGTGGACCTCCATGAATGACAGCCTGCCTCACTAACCTCCTGGTAAAGTGGCTGCCCCACTCAGGAGGGGAGGCCCTGCCAGCGCCCGGGGCCATCGTCGGCGTCTGTGAGGACATGTGCCCCGCGGCAGAGCGTGAAAGGCGGGAGCACCTGCACGACATCCAGATCTTTGAGAGGGTGGACATCAATGACAGCGGGCGGACCAGTGCAGAGCTGGCTGTGAGGCGATTTGCACGAACGGTGTGTTGCTTGGGGCTTGTATTGGAAAGGATGGTGGAAGTACAGCCTGTCCTATGCATAGATTGCGTCTGGTGGTCTACTGCAGGGATCATACTACTTCGATTACCCGTCATCCATCTCCAACACTGGCACACTCCTCAGACACGTGAACAACCATATCCTGATTCTCCGTGCAGATCGATGACCCGCAACCCACAGACTTTCGGACCCGAGCAGCCCTCCTGAGGACCATGCTGTACCTGAGGTCCCTCCTGGACAGACAGGATGTCAGGTGAGAGGGCTTGGGAAGAGGGACAGGGTTTGCAATACTTGAGCGGGATGGGTGGTCAGTGAGGCAGAACAGGACGCTATGAGGTCTGGAATTTGGGAGCGTGAAGAGAACGAGGATCAGTGCTGTTGGCTACATATAACTCCACGATGCTGCATGCATCCTCAGGTAACCTGCCGGCTCTTTCTCAGACCGACAACCCCACCCTGGGTGCGTCTGCCTGCAGTATTCCCTTGACCCCTCACACCCTGCTGTGACCACCAGGTTTGGGCTGGTGCACAAATTCCTGTGGGACAGATACCGGGCTGTTCGACAGGACCTGTACGTTCAGGGCATCACGGTGAGGCTGGGGTGGATGTAGTCGAGTTGTGTTGGTACTTGATGGGTGCCCTCAATCTCTGCCGAGAAAAGGGGTTACCAGGAGGTTGATCTGGTGTGTGTATGGGCAGTATTCCTGGTTGGCAGACCACACTGCAGCATTCAGGGAGCTTCACATCCTGCCCTCGCCTGCCTCAGGATGAGTTTGCTATCGCTGTGTACGAGGAGGTTGTGCGTTTTCACGTCATGTGCGAGCATGAGCTCTGCGGAGAAGACCAGTCTGGCAAGTGACACACCAGGGTCCATGCTTGTGTGTGCTGGGTGCAATGCTGGTCATCGCCGGACCCCTTGCATGCACTCGGTCTTCCTCGTGCCCCTGCGCTCCATCTCACTCACCTTGTGCCCGCCCCGTTGCCAGTCACGGAGATGGAGGGCTTCAACTCTCACCTGAACATTGAGCAGATGAACAAGGTGACAGGGGGGAAGGCTTGGGCTTGCACGAGGATGGGGCCTGGCTCTGTGGTTTGACATGCATGCCTGTCCCCACCCATGCGCTTCCCCTGCCAGTCAGAGGCATCCTCGCAGGAGACTGACTTCCCGCACGCCCCCGTCTGCTCACCCATCGACAGGCCCTGATATCCTTGAGTGACATGTATGAGACGCAGGCAGAGAAGGGGCAGCCAGTGCAGTCTGGTGAGTGAGTTTTCGAGGCCTCTTCGGCCATGATGACCGCGCTGTCGCTGGGTCACAGCTGACCAGTGCTGGTTCAGGGTGAAGGCACCCTGCCGCCCAAAGGTCATGAGAATGTGTCTGCCCCCTGTCACTGCATGCGAGCCCCCACAGCAACCCCCTCCTCATCCCTGCAGAGCCGGAGTTCAGGGCTTACCACCTGCTCTCTCTCATGGCTCAGCACGGCAAGTTCAAGGGGGACCAGCAGGCCTTCCTCGCCACCTTGCAAGCGCTGCGAGCGGAAGTGAAGACATCACCTCCCATCCTCTGGGTCCTGCAACTACAGGTGGGGTGGCCGTGGGATGAGTGTGTGGTGCTGTGTGATTTCCTGGCATCAGAATGTTGAGTTCAGAGCTGCAGAGATACCTGCCTGCATCACTCTCAACGTGGCTTCCTCTAGGATGGGGATGAACCAAGCTTTGAGGATCTCATGTCGCCTCTGACACCTATTCCCCCGTGCTCCAGAAACCCTCTGCCTGAACCCCCCTCTCTCCCCGTTACACTGGCAGAGAGCCTACGCCTGCGACAACTACGTCGCATTCTTCTCTCTGGTGGACCGGGCGCCATACCTCATGGCCTGCCTGGCACATGTCTACTTTCCTCAGGTCGGGGAGTGTGTGTGTGTGTATCAAACTGCAACCTGGTGGCGGCACAAAGCATGAGCACGCTGGCAGCTTGCTGCACTCACAGGATATCTGTGGAAGGGATTGATTGCCGTGCCTGCGCATCTCCAGTCCTCGCATACTCTGCCCCTCGACCTTCAAAAGATTGGCCGTTCATCCCCCAGATTCGTGCTCGGGCGCTGAGAGCACTGGCAGACTCCTTCAACCCCTCCTCCTCCACGACGGCTGCCGCCAGCCTGGACTGGCTCAAGGTACCCTGGTGGGGCAACTTCGGTAGTGAAACATTTAATGCAGCACGGGATGCTGGGCTCCGCACCTTGGCCTTTGGGGTTCTCCTTGCTCTGTTTCGGTCGCCCAAGCATGCAGCGAGGCTGGCCAATGGTGGTGCCAATGTTGCCACCACTGTCATGGTCTGCAGGATCTATTCTACATGGACACAGCCGATGAGGCGGCAAAGACTGTGGTTCGGCATGGGTTTGCAATCGGCACTGCGGGCGCTGGCGTGCAGTGCGCCCTCCTCGTCAAGGTGGGATCCCCGGCAACGTGTCTGCGGGTTGTAGTCACGTTGTTGTTGATATGGGGACTCGGTCAGGGGTGCTTCCAACAGGGGACTAGAAGGGTTGCGTGCGCGTGATTTCAGTCGTCCAGTTGGTTGCCTGACCCACCTTTTGCCACGGCCTCAATCCTCACATGACATGCGCTCACCCCCCACTGCCAACCCCGCTTCCCTCCCATGATGACAGGGTGAGTTTGTGGAGCCCCCTCCCCCAACTCAGCGTGCCCCATCCCAACGTATCTCTGAGAAATCGGCTGGGCTCCGCTCCGGTGCGGTGGCGTCCGCGCAACTGTCTCCCAAAGGGCTGCAGGCCTCGGTTGCGCGCCAGCTCGAAGATCAGCGTGCTGCACAGGAAGCCAACGCAGCGCTTGCAGCTCAGGCTCAAGAAGTCGCCAGGCAGACTCAGCATGCCCAGCAAGAGGCAGCCTGGAGAGCGGCTCTGCAGGCGAAGGAGGCCGCCGAGGCCGCACGGCACAAGGCGGCCCTGCGTGCCGAGGAGGGCCGGCGGCAGGAGGAGGAGCAGCGGCGGCGGGCGGAGGAAGCGAGGGTCACACAAGAGGCTGCCAGACAGCTGGCGGCTCGCCAGAGGGAGGAAGCGCTGCTGCGGGCCGCCGCAGAGGAGAGGCAGCGAATGGAAGCGGAGCGTGCAGCCGTTGCCGCGGCCCAGGAGGCGGAGCTGCGGGCTGCCGCGGCTGCTGCCAAAGAGAGGCAAAGGGTGGAGGAGCTGCAGCGCCGACGCAGGGCAGAGGTACGCCTGCGGGGTTCTCCTTTTGGAGGGGAGCGCTTTGAGTGGGGCGGCTGTGGATACAGAATCGGCGGGGCTCTTGCCCTTTGCGGTCATGATGCATGCTCGCGCACCCACGGCACCCACGCCTCCTGTGTCCTGGTGCAGCTTGGTGCCTCATTCCTCTCCTCCTCCCTGGGGTGGTCAGGAGGAGGAAGCAGAGCGACGACGAGTGCAGGCAGAAGCCGCGGCGCGGGAGGCGGCCGAGGCCGAAGCTCGCCGACAGAGGGAGGAACAGGCCAGGGTTGAGGTGCGCAGACGCTGGGCCGTAGCCAAAGAACAGCATGCTTCAGATCTCGTGCCGACTCCGCACTGTGTGATGGCTTGGAGGATCCAGCACATGGTGCAGCCCCTCCCCACCGACTCCGCAAGCAACCTGCACTCCCCGACAGAGGGAGCGCCAGGAGCGGCGTGCATCCAAGTGTGCGGCCGCCGTGCAGAAGCTGCACTTTGCTCGATGGCGGGCCTTTGTTCGAGAGGAGGCCGCCCGGCGTGCAGCACGCAAGGCCTGCAGCGTCGGCATTGTGAGGGTGAGTTAGCCAGAGAGACCAGTGGCGAGAGGGTGTGGGAAGCATTCATTGTGGACTGGTGTATGATCTCAAGGAGGGAAAATGAGCACGGGCCCCAGACTCAGGCTCGTCGCCCGTGGACCGGGGTGGCAAACGAGCGCGCTCTGCGCTCTGCCGAGGCCCTCCGACCGACACGCCAAGCGCCTGCGCCGATCGCCCCTCCCTTGAACGCCCCCCATGTCCTTGCAGCGCACCCTCAACACGCTGCCGGGCCTGCTGCACTGGGGCAGGTCCCAGGCTGGGGCTCCTGAGCCTGCGGCGGTCGCCGAGGATTTTCCGGCCATCATCCGCAGGGCCCTTGTTGGCAGCACGGCTGGGAGGCTGGTTCGGCCATCCACTCTGGCCCCCGAGCCGACCGTCATTCCCTGGAAGCTCGCTGTCCTGGAGGCGGAGGATGCGCCGCCGGCAGCCTCCCGATGGCTGCGGCGGGCTCTGGCGGGCGACGCCGCAGCGCTGGATCCGGGCAGCGCACCCTGCGAGGCCTACGTGTATGGGCCGGGGCGCGGGCCGACGCCCGACGTCCGATGCTGCCTGGCCTTTGCGAGCCTGGGCTCGGCGGCGCCGGGGCCCGCGGCGGCGGCGGCCATCGCGGGCGCCTCGGCGATCGCGGTGCTGGCGGGGCCGGCGGCGAGCCCCGCCGGCGGTCAGCTGGCGCGCGCCGTACGCGCCCTGGCCGACCTCCCCCCCTGCGCGGACCTCCCACTCCTGGTTTTGGGTGCTGAGAGCGGGCCGGCAGAGGAGTGGACCGCGGCTTGGACGGGCCGGCCTGTCGGGTACGCGGACGTGCTGGCCGGCTGGACCGGCGCGGCGCCCGACGGCCCTGGCGGTGCGGCTGCGGGCCTGAGCGTGCAGCCGCCCGCGCCGGCAGGATCAAACGCCTCGGCGCTGGCACGGGGACTGGCGTGGGCGGTGGCGAGCGCGCCGCCCGCGCCCCGCCTCGCCGCCGTGCCGCTGACGACCCTGCTCTCCAGGACCCTGGCCATGCTCACCCCGGGCGTGCCCGCCCAGCAGGCACTGGAGCCGGGCCTCGCCCTCCGACTGTTTGACGCGGTGCTGACGCGCGCGGCGGGACTGGTGGGGTCGGCCCGCGACTCCAGCGCCTTCCGCCGACGCTGGCCGCCGGCGGAGGTCGGGACGGGGACACCCCTGGACGGCTGGCACACCGAGCAGGCCCAGACCAGGATCCTGGCTACCCTGGCGGCCCTGAGGCTGCGGCGGGGCGCCCTGCTCCACCGCCCAGGCGAGGGGCCGTGCCGGGGGCGTCGCGTGGGGGATGGGAAAGGAGGGCTGCCGGGGTGGATGCCTGCGAGGGCAGCGCCAGGCTTGTGCTCTGCCCCTGACGGCCGGACGCACAGCATGCCAGGGCCTGGTCCCAGGCAGGTGCCTCGCTTGCCCCACAATGCCAACCGTGTGCGATGCCGCCCCCTCCTCCCTCGCTCCGTGCAGGCGGCGGAGGCTGTCCCACCCTGGTCACGCTGCACATGCTGCTGAGCGCTGAGGGCGCAGACTGCAGCGAGGTGATGGTCGTCGCCCCGTCCTCAGAGCTGAACCGCCTGTCCGGGCAGGCCATGGAGGCCGCCCCGCCCTGCCGCCCACGCCACGTCGACGCGTGGCAGCCGCCCCTCACCCCGCCGCCTCTTCGGGCTCTGGGATCGACGAGCCGGAAACGCAAGCTGTCGCCGCAGGTGGGGGCAGTGGTGGCGAGGGGGGACCGAGGTCGGGGTGGATGCATCGCTGGAATGCGAAAGAGGAACCTTTCCGTGAGCCAGCAGACGATGCCGATGTACAGCACCTTCCTCCCTGGCATATGCTCCAATTTTATAAGGCAAAACGAGCCATCTCGGCGCTCAGTTCGATGGGCTCACCCGCCACCTCATCGCCTTTCCAGGAGACCATCAAGCAGGAGAGTCTGGTGGACAAGGTGCAAGCGCTCCAGCTGGACATCCGTGCAGAGAAGCAGAGTTTTGAGGCCTTGAGCATCCAGTCAAGTAAGCCAGCCACTGAGACCCCGTCTGGCTGCGGGGGCCGAGCTTCCCTGGAAATGCCTGACGCCCCCACCAGAACTCTGGACGCACCAGGCGGCAGTGGTTTGGATGTCTTTGAGCTTGCCAGAGAGGCGGCAGCTGAAGTCAGGGCATGGATGGAGCGGTGAGGGGCTGATCCTTGCTGCCAAGGCTTGACCATCCGAGTTTTGCCCCAAGCGGTCATCCCTGTATCAGTATCCATTGTGGCATTCTCAGTGGCGCGGGGGGGTGGGGGGGGAGATTCAGTATCGCAAATCGACATGAGATGCACAACCAAATGCCGCCGCAAGAACCCATGTTGGACTTCTGTCAACTACATGGTGGCTTCTGCAGATACCAGCCCATGCTCAGTTAGGTTTGGTCAGCCCCAATAACCGAGTAGTGGGGGAGAGGGGCCCGGGAAGGGGGGGGAAGGCGAGGGCGGTGGCAAAAGAAAAGTTGCAGGGTGAGGCGCACAAGCCAGAGCGAGCTCGAGCAGCATCAGGATGTTTTTCGCCCCGTTCACGTCCCGGTTGACGACTCTGACATTGCACGCCCGGTTGACGATGGAATTACAGCATGGCTCTCTAGACTTGGCTGTTGCATCCCGTTGGCATCATGGTTCGGTGTGGAACGCCATTGGCTTGGTGGCAGTTGCTGAGAGGCTGCGTCGAGTCAGCCACCCTGGGGTGCCACCTACACAACCCTTTGTACTCAATTCCAGCAAAGGGTTTGTGACATTCCGGAGCCCATTAGGGCGAATCTATAGGGTTAGGTTTAGTTTTTAGGTTTAGTTAGGGTCAGGGTCAGGGTCACTAGGCCACATTTTGGGGGAGCCCCGGT